CTATCATTCACTTCACTAGGAGTTATTATAAATATTACTTTATCCGATTCTCTGATAAACTTTCATGATTATTTAGAGGAATGTTCAAACTTGAATGTGCAGTACGGCCATTTTCATCAACTTTATTAATGGAAAAATATGCAGTAGTTCTGTCATGGCCTTTATATCTCTTACTACCTTTTTATGGTTGAGTTAACATTGTCGTTCATGATTCTATTTAGAGGGGGCTACCAATGCTGACATTGACAGAAATATCATTTTGCGTTCTTCTTTTACCAGTATCCCAAGGCATAGGCATATGCCTCATCTTTATCAAGATTTGTACACTGCTTTGCTAATCCGTCATTACTTTCATCTACAACCCTAAATGATATGAAACTGTACATTAATTATTTCCTCTCCAGACGACCTTCCAGATTTATTTTGTCGCTTTTTCCATCAAAAATAAAAATGTCAACAAGGATTTGCTTTTAATTTTATCAAATACACAACATAATAATTATTCCTCATTATTTTTTAAAAAAATTAGCCTAAATTTTTATGTAAATAAAAAATATTTTCTTAAAAAATATATATATATAATTTGCATATAAGTTTCATTAGTGTTTAATGGCATTTTTGTAATTTAAATAGATAGCATTTTTTTTTACTTAACATAAAATTATAGACAAATAATTTGGGAAATGCAAGACATACATTAAATTTATCCGAAAAGCTACAATAACCCTATATAATAAACAACAATTTATTTTTTATATATAATTTTAATTGATCATATTACCAAATCGGTTATTTTATTTTATTTGTCATGATTCTCTAATAAGTGGTTTGCCCAGGCCTTCCCAGTTTCCCTTAATACTGAATTCACATGTTTTTTTTACATCTTAAACTAATTGGTAAATCAGATAATTCCCCTTCATGTGATGATAAATCAATTAAAAATTTTACTATCTCCGAGGTGGGAAATAATTTTCAAAATTATATTGAATACGACTGGGCTTGGAACCTCAAAATTAATATTACCTTGCACCTGACATGGTTATATCTTTTACAAATTTAAGGGTTGAGCTGGGCTTGATAAACTTTAATAATTATATGCTTCCTAATATTGTGAGCTTGGACATGGCCTGACATCTATCGTAAAAAAATGAATAAAATTCTCATTCCCCGTCATTTTTGACGGGCTTTCTACTAGTTATTATTATTATTTGATTTTTTAAAAGAAGAAATAAAATTAATTTAAAACTCAAAAAATAACTTGTTTCCTTCAGAAAAATTCGATATAGCTAACCACTTAATGGTAAATATAGCTGATTCAGGGTTATTAATGAGTTGCACATCAGCTTTCTGCGCTGATAATTCCTCTGTGAATTTTGACAAAAACCAAAGTGTATTTACCTAATTGAGTTAGCAAAATGTTGGTTGCAACATGTTCCTAATACCCGCTATTGATAGAATTTTAAAATTTTACAAACCTTCAAAAAAATATTTCTTAAATAAATTATAAAAGCTGTCTTATTTTGAAAGTAGAAAATCTACTACATGCTGTTAATATGAAGTTGAAATCAGAATAATCTTTTTTAATAAAGAACAACAAAATTATGCTGCAGATATGTTCATAATTTACAGTTAAAAATTGACAATAAATTTTAAGACGCCATTTCTAAAAATTTATTAAAATGTTCAAATATTTTAAAAATACCTAGACATTGATATCTTGTTTGGGGAGATTGCTCTCTATTTTTGATTTTCCAGAATATTCAAAATATTAATTTTATAATGTAAAAAATATATTTATTTCATGAGAATGTATAAATAAGATTTTATAAAATATAAAAAATGTATGGAAAATTAAATAGTTATAATGTCAAGTTAATTATATTTTATTTGAGATTTAAATAATAGAACTAAACGGTTATTGAGATATTTATAAAATTCCTTTGACATATTATAATTTTGTTTAACCTTTAGTTCGGCCTCTAATGTTGTTAAAGCAATCCGATTTCTCCCCTTTCTCCAGGCAGTCCTCATCAGGTTAAAAATGCGTTCCTTTAGAATGCGGTAAGGAGAAAACATACTCGCCTATTTTTTCCAAGCACGGGGACAAATTCCACCCATTTCTCCTGTGCTTTTAGACCATCTAACTTTAAGTATTCTGGCAAATAGAGAGAATTACTATCTCCTCAAACAAGACATCAATGTCTATCGGTATTTTTAATATATTTATTAAATTACAAAACCCTCAAGGATGGATTCTGTTCCAAGGTCATAATATTAATGCATTTGTAAATAGAGTTATTAAAAATTTTGATTGTAAATATTCTAAAATTTTCTTAATAAAAATATCTGCGTCATTTAAAAATATATTAATTAGAGCATTATTTGAACATTTTAATATAATATTTTTAGCAATAGCGCCATAAAATTTATTATCAATTTTTAACTGTAGAGATGAACAGTGCTATAGCACGATTTTGTGGAGAATCTTCTGATTGCAACTGAATATTAACTGCATACAGATTTCCTACATGTGAAACTAATCTCAAATATGCTTCTGCCATTTCATCTTCGAAATTTTTCAAAATTTTAGGACAGCTTTTAAAATGTTTATTTAAGAACTATTTTCTTAAGGGTTCGTAAAATTTTAAAATTCTATCTATGGCAGGTATTAATGATAGCCACCTGATATGTACATGTCGGAACAACTCACACCATTCCAAGTCAGACCACTCCACCAACTCTTTTAATTCATTAACTCATTTAGTTGATGAACTAAATCGTTAAAACATTTATCACAATTATTTCTACATCCCCGGATAGTACATTCATTGCCTTCTTGCAAGAATTATGTAATATATGGCATATACAGTCAAATGGTATTAATTCATTATTTTGCTGCCTCAATTCGGTAAATACACTTTGGTTTTTGCCAAAATTTACAGAGGAATTATCAGCGCAGAAAGCTGACATGCAACTCATTGATAACCCTGAATCAGCTATATTTACCATTATGTGGTTAGCTATATCGTTGAATTTTTCTCTATCAGAGAAAATATTTTTAACAGTTTTATTGAAATAACTTTATTCTTGTTGAAATAGCGAAGGATCAACGGAAATGTTTTAATATTTCCCTTATTAGATGCATCTGTTAGAATTGCATATGGGTGCCTATTTTTCAAATCGTCTAGAATTGACCTCTTGGATTCAAGGCCTAAAACATTTGTGATGGCCTTGCTCATTTTTGTTCTATCAAAAGTAAAGTTTGCACTTATATTGGAGTCGTTAAATATTATGGGTAAAAGATTCGACCCACATTGTGATGATAGATAGCTCTATGAATGTTGAACTAGATGATAGGGGTATACGATTTCCACAATTGTAGTTGCATCTGTATTGTTTATTATTTTTGGAGAATATTTTTGTATTGCAATCTGTTGATATACTCCCCTGTACTGATTTATATGAATGAAATGATCTTGATTTATTATTGGATAAAAATAAAACAGGATAGAAAGAAATTTACAAACTATACATGTTTTTAGCATAAATATTAAATTACTGTCTCTCAAAATTATTATTTATATATAAAAAAGTTTAAATGCTAAAAAAAATTTGCAGGAGAACTTAAAAGATTGCGATATATTTTTGCGGGAGATTTCCAATTGCGGTAGTTTTGCGGGAGTGAGATGTCTGCGTGTAAACTAAAAAATTGCGAAAGTCTCCCGCTGATGGGGGAGACGACATGACAACCCTGTATGGAAGCCTTACCTGGCCCCCTGTAGAAATTTACCCGTATAAAATATAACAGAATACAACATATTTTTTTAAAAACTTAATCGCGGAAAATTTTTAATATAAAAAACTAAAATATCTGTATTACTTAAACAAAAACTCCAACTAAAAATTTTTAAACACAATTATACTTGTTTTTTAGGTACATATTCATTATTAAATTAAGCTTTTTTTAGAGCCCCCGATACTTATGATGTATATCTATTTATTTTTATTTAGTAATCTAAAAAGAGGGTAGTATTTTATTTAAAAAAAAACAAATTTTCACAAATTTTTCATTTACAAATTATAATTAAAAATATATATTAAAAAACAAATAATATATTAAAAATAAATTAAAAAATATATATGTATAAATTTTTTTTTTCCTCAATAAATTTTTTATTATTCATTTATCTATAAAACATAAACAAAATATAAAAATAAAAAATGAATATATATATATATTAAAAGTGAATGTATATTTTAAAAATATCGATGGCTCTAAAAAGAGCTTATAGTAAAAATGTTCCTAAAAAACAGGTATAATTATGTTTAAAAATTTCTAATTGGAGTTTTTGTTTAAGAAAAATTGATTCGCGTTTTTCGTTTGTAATGTTAAAAATTTTATGTGGTAAAATTTTTTTAAAAAAATATGTTGATTGTGAGAAATTGCCATTAGTTGAAATGACTAAAATAAAATTTAAAAATAGGGTACAAATCACCCTAGAGAAGTGTGAATGCTTAAAAAATTGGACCGGCAGATTTCCAGGGAAATCTGCTTACGAAGGTAAAATCCTTCATTGGAGTACCCTGAGATCTGCCTCATTTTTTCTCCTATAGTTTTGATGAAATTGAGAGCATCACTTCCGAACATGCCTAGGGTATTGGTAACGATTGGGATAAACACGGTATTGGTGAGGCAAGCATATTTGTTTTTTTTTAGGATTTCGGCCTTTTCGATGGCAGAAAATGAGAGGTTGGACTTGGCGGAAGAACTGACACAAGTATAGTCCCAAGCTAGTGGGAAACTATTGGTCCAAATCTTATATATTTTTATATACTGTTTTAATATTTTAGTGTTTTATCATTTTTTTTAAATATAAATATTCAGATATTAATAAAAAATACTATCATATGTTATATCAAATTTGACAGCATACATTACAGCTGGCTGATAATGATATTTATCCTTTTTACTGTGAATTCAGTTCCTTTTAATTTTAAAAATTTGACGCATTCTATAAAATGAAACAGAATAGTAATAACGATCTTAATAAGCCGTGGCAAATTAAAAATAAAATACCTAGAGAAGAAGATGCTAACTCTACCGGCTCTATGAAATCAATTGATAATAATTCAAATAGTAATATATTTTACATTATTGTAATTCATTAAAATATAGCTAAATGTTTATTTAAATCTGATACACTGCAGCGTTCTTTCTTTTATGCGGGAAATCAAAATCTCAGCAATAACATTTCAAATCACATCAATAATAATGTTCAAAGCAATAAACTTAGTTTAGGACTTAAACCCTCAACCACAAAGAACTTTGTTAATTATTATTCTGACAGTAATGATGAAGATGAGGGAAATAGTCAAAATTGCAACTCAAAAATTATTTCAAACCTTTTCAAATCTTATGGTAAGTTTAATTTATCAATTAGAACAATATTTATTATAAGATTGTCAACTAATTTTATTTAAAAACTAAAAATTATATCATTACATTTTTAGTTCTCCATTTATTATTTATTATTTCTTATTGTATATTTTATAATATAATTTACTATATTCAAGTGCTATAAATAAAACAAGATCATCATATCAAAACTATACTAGTCATTTAAAAAAATAAAATAATACTGAATTTTTAATAAAAAAATCAATAAGCATCTTGTCCAATACTATGCAATTAATATTATTTTTATTAGTCTTATAGAGCTACCTGTTATCCCAGTCTGTAATCAAATTAGGCCAACACTAACATCATCTATAAAAAAAATAAACCCAGCCCATTACCCCAAATATATTTATGTTTTATTTCCTTACTATTTTTCCATTTCTTTTCTTCATTGCATATCACAATTATATAATATTTAAAAATAACAAAAGAGAATCCCCTTAAGAATTCTTAAGAATCAATATTAAAGTAATATATATTATATAAATGGTTTATCTCTTCAAGGGGATTCAGAAAATGTTAATATTAATAATTTATAAAACAAATTGATGAAATCACAAATTTTTTAAAAAATAACTTCAATTTTGTGAATCTTCAGAGATTTTTTGCTGAAAATTCTGGCCAAAAAAATCTTCAAAAAATCTTTTAAATTATGGATTATCTTTACTTCTCCATGTTAACATTTTCTTGGGAATTTCTGTTATATCATTACCATGAGTATACCATTTTCTTCCATTTCAAGAAAATTTCTGGTAAAATATATAAAAAAATCTTTTTGGCAAGATAGCTTCTCAAAATCCTCATTATTTTCAAAGTATGCATCTGAAATACCCCCTTTTAGTAATATAATAGTTTGATATCTAAAGGAAATAAAAAAATTGGAAAAATTTATTAATTTTATTTATATTTATCAGAGATCTCAGACCCGGCTAAAAAACAATTGGGCCAGGCCGTCAGTTTTAAATCGCCATTATTAGCTAAACATAATTTATTTAAGGAAAATCTGGGCTGGGCCTGAAAAAATAAAACCTGGGCCAAGCTGGGGGCTTGGCCAAAATTATTTTAAAAAAAATTCGGGCCAGGCCATGCCTATGGTATCTCTGCAGGTCTCTGATATTTATGCAATGTTTAAGGCATAATATTTTCAATATTTTTATATATTTATGCAATAATTATTATGAATAAAATGCATGACAAAATCCCAATGTTGCAATATGACAATTACTTCATAAAATATAAATATACATATAATTAATAAAATAGTTAGTTATTATAAAAAAAATATTTTCTTACCATTTATTTGCATACATTTTATAAATTAGGCTTTGTCCTAAATATATTAAAACCTCAAAATTTATAAATTTTAGCAAATCAATAAAATTATGAAACATGTCTGAAATCTGCCATTATTCTTTTTTAAGGTTTTGTAAAAGTTTAAAAAAAACAAGAATAAAATACGAAAAATAACAATGCCACCAAATAATTTAATATTACTTACTAGTTTTTACGTAAAAATTACCCAAATAAATAAATTTTGAAAAATTTTTATTCTTAATTTTTATTATTTAAAAAAAAATTCTTTTAGTAAATGACGAAGATTTAGAACCAGGGCTTTCAACTGTTAAGTATAACAGTTCTGTTCGTTTCGTTTTTAGTTTGAAATTTTATAAAGGTTTTGTTCCATTTCGTTTTTTTTGAAGAAATTCACATCGGTTCGGTTTGGAATTTTTAATGGTTCTTTTCGGCTCGTTCTGGTTTTTATAAATTTGATTTTTAAAAAAATTAATCACAAACCTAAACCTAGTTTTGTTAAAAAACCCTATTTGGGCCAACTTAAAAAAGGTCCCGATAAAGATTATAACCAAAATAGCATTATTTAAGCCTAAAAATTTTGCTCATAGCTGGCAGAAAAGCTTGGACATCTATTTCTAAATCTCGACAAATATAATATTATATTATTTTAGCTAAAATCTTAATTTGGACATTTTGAGAAATCTACCCTAATTGGGCTTTTTAAAAACACTACCTAAACCATATATATTAATCTTAAAGAAAAATTTTTTAAATTATATTTTTATAATTCCTTATTTAATTTAACTATGAAGATTATTTCTTATCTTATTAACTAGTAATTTGCCTAACCTCCATTAGGTTGAGAATATAAAGTAAAAACAATAAACTTGGTATTGAATTATATGAAGGCGATTTAATTGTAAAAAAAAATTAATTTGATAAAAAATCACGAAATTAAATTCCCCCCAAGGAAGTTTAATATTAATTATTTTTAAAAGCGTTATGAACCAGTTTAAACCCACTCAAAATATTTATAACAGTTCGGTTCCCTCCTTTCATATTTTCTTTATAACGATTACGGTTCAGAAAATTATAACGGTTCGTTCCGGTTTCACGGTTCGGGTCAAAGCCCTGTTTGGAACACTAATAATTTATTATTACATTAAAAATAGCTTATGTTATTTTTTTTCTTCAAAATTAAATATATTTATTTATATTTTTTAGATTTAGGACACAGCCTTAGTTATGGATTTAATTCATATTTTTATTTTGATATGATATATGTTGGAATTGGAACACTATGGATTTATTTATAGTATGTGATATTTTATAAGAATGCCAGATTAGAGGGGTGGGAAATTAATAACATTGGTCGGACGAATTTGCGGGTTAAAAATATTTATAAAACAATTACTGAGCTTACATTCTAGTTTTAAATACGTCCATTGCAGGCCTCTATTCCAGGTTGTTTAATGTTTTTCATTTATTTGATATTGGTATAATATAATTAGTGTTAAAATATTATTTTTTGGATAAAATCAAAGCATGTTTTATATATGCATTTTCGATTATAAATTAAATCAATTTAAAGAACTTTGGGATAATAAATATATATATAACACTATTGAATAAGTTATTAATAAAATACTAAACAAAATATTGTTAATCAAAATAATGAATTTTATAAATCAATGGGCATTTTATATTAATATAAAATTTTCGCGGCCTAATATATTCATCCATTTCTATTTTAAGAAATTTATTCCTTCAATACATATAATTATTGGTTATTTTCCACTGCTTCACGTAACAAGTGTTTTTTTTTAAATTATGATTATTACATTATAAAATTATTAATAATTTAATTTGCCACTCTAATTATGTATTTTTTTTAACCCTAGATGAAAAATTAGAAAACGCCAAAGTATTACAATTGGTAAAAGAGACGCTTGATCAATCCTCCGACAACACCTGCCTTATTTGTATCGGTACTATCAAGAGAAAGCATCCCGTTTTTAAAAAATAAATATAAAACTATAGGCAATTTAATCATCAGACTCTCCTTAAATAATACTAACGAAATGTCAAACTATCTCTCTAAAAAAAATGTAATTAATAGGTAGTCTGGGAAATTAAAAGAAAACCACGTTTTAATAAAAATGATTAGTTTTAATGGCAGCTATGACTCCGACCAGAGGATTAGAGATCTGAGTTAAAGCGCAATAGGACCCTGGTTCGATCCCCGACGTGAGCAGTTTAAACTAACTGACGAAGTCAGGGATTGGTAAGGTTAAATTTTTTTTACTAGATATGAGGTAGGATTAATAAATAAATTAAAATTGACTAATTTGTTAAACAACAACCCAGACTACCAACATTATTACCCATACATGAGATAAGTGATTTAAACATATTATTTAGTTCACAGCATTTCTAAAGAAACCAGAATATATTTCAGAGTTTTTAATTCAAGAGATTTTTTTAACAATTATTTGTATACTCAAGATTTGGAGTTGTTCCTCTTGTTATGCTTTATTTCATTTGCAATGTCTTCAAACGTGGATCAACGACGGTGCTTACAAAACCGCCATAAACCCTATAATCAGATCAGAATTCGATTTGGATATCAAATGGACCTGGTTTAAAATCTTTTTAAAATCAATCATAATGTATTTATATATACATCTCATATGTACATTATACACAATAGGGCTTCGAAATATACTTCTTAGTTCTCTTATCTAATTTAAAAGTTCTGGTTATGGAAGATGGTAAATTTAAGAGTAAAAAGAAAATGTGAAATAAAATAATCATAATAAAATTCATGAAATAATCATTTTTCTATAATATTTGAATGCAAATATTAAAATTTTTTTATAATACATATGGTTTAGGGAAATTCAGGGTAGGGTGGTATATTTTTAATTTAATGATTTGTAGAAAGTTCTTTTTTCAATGAGGACTTGTTTTGCGGTTATATTTCAGTATATATATAAATTTTTTCATAACTAATCAGTTCTGAAACTCGAATCTTTGAGAAAAATTATTGGATTGATTGTACAAATATCTTCTCCTAGACCTGAAAATAAGTCCGATGCAAAGCTCTATTATATACCATTAATTTTAAACAATTTTGTCATGAAATTCTCATATGTTCTCGTCTCTGGTTATTATCAAAAAACAGGCAAGAATTATAAAGAAAACAATCAATTAATAAAACATCTGAACGATTTGTGAATTTAAAAAATGTACCAATTTTCCTTAATATCTTATCGAATCACCCCTATCATTCGTATTTTTAGTCGGGTTATCTGCCAATATCGAATTGGCCTATTCGAGATATCAAAATGTCAGATAAAATTTTTTTATGAGACATTGTTAATATCCAATAAATGTTAAAAAAAGTATATGGCTCAACTATTTTTTTAAATTGGAAATGTGTATTTACTTTATATGTTTATATATTTATTTTATTATTAAATTTTGGTTTATTTTATTCCTTATAAACATTTTTCACATAATGTTATTATTAAATATTGAATCGGCTGATATCTACTGCTATTGGCACACCTCAAATTAATTGTAATTCTTTCAGACAAAGCAACTAACTATATTTGTTTGATAATTTTTTTGATTCCTTCATTAAATCAAATTATAATTGTAGCCCAAAATGTCGCCAGGACTACGAAAAAAATCAAATCCCCAAGGTTTACACTTGTTTTTGTGGAAAAGTCGAAAACCCTTCGTATAATCTTAGCATTGATAATTGGGTTCTGCCTCATTCGTGCGGCAACACATGCGGTAAAACATTAAAATCTTGCGTCCACACTTGCCTCTTACTTTGCCATCCCGGTAATATTTTCGTTATCAATTAATTTTTTATGGGTTAAATTTGTAAAGTTTTATTAAGAATTTATTTTTCAGCTTACTTTAACTATTGGTGAATTTCATTCCAAATCAATAATTGCCCTGTCTTCAGATTTTAAAAAAAATTTATGTGTTGATATTATATATGGTAAAGAAATATAAATTTTAGCTCCCAACCTCCAAGAGATATGAGATGAGTGCTAAAAGCGCAGTTAATTTTTTTATTAGATATCTTTAAATTAAGCTGAAGTATTTATTTTAAAAAATTCGGGGAGCCTGATATTATTTCTTAAAAATAATATGTAAAAAAAAATAAGGATAAAAACCTGGTGTGGCTAAAATAAAATTGATATACTTTTCTCCTTGATTTTTTTTCAATAAAAAATATAAGTTGGGCACTGTTTCGAATATATGGCATACTCAAATACAACTAGTTAAACTAAATTATTAATTATTGAAAGAATAAAAATATTTAAAAAATTAAATTAAAGGGTGTGAAATAATATAAATATTCTTTTAAACTAAGTTATATAAAAATGCTTAAAAATGATTCTCCCTATATATATACATTTTAAATGTGTGAATTGTTTGAAAATAATAATTTTTGCATAATATAATTAGTTACATTTTATGAACTCCTGAATATAAATTATAATTTGCAATTGTGAAAAAGTATCTATTTTATTCTACATTACTTCCAGTTTTAATATTTAATTTTTGCTCACCTATTTAAATTTTTTTTATTAATGAATTTAAATGATTTTATTGATAATATATTTAAATTTATATGATGAATATATCAATAAATATGCATTAAATATATGTTAAAACAAAAATAGATATACATTTAAAAAAAGACTAATAAAAATATAAACGATGATCGGTAGATAATTAATAGACTACATGAAGCCCTCAATTGACAAGAAATTTGAACTCAAATTTCTAAACCAATGTATTGGCGAATATAGAAATATTCTGTTGGACCGTGAGATGGTTAACATTTTTTCCTATCACCTTCAAGAAGGAAAGTGACTTGTGGCCGAAGTTTCCATTATATTTTTTTATTTCAGCCGCCTGAGAATTTTTATGGGCGTTAGATTTAGCGAATATGTCTACACAAGTGTAATCCTAAGCGATATAGATGCCCCTTGCTCTTTTTGCAACATCAGAGTTTAAGAAAATGAGCACCATCTTTTATAGTCAAAACAATAGATTCTTTATTATAAAATTGTTTCCTATATATAGTCTTTTATAATTATGTCATTTAACTTCTACTAATATGCAATTACATTGACCTCCAAGATAATATTAAATATAATTCAAATAGCATAACCTTTTAATATATAAACAATCAAATATAACACCATCTATTGCACTGCTGATTCTCTAAAAGTTGCCACCCTAGACATAGCACAATTAACTGTTGTAGTTTGCATTTTTTGATATATATTTTATTTGATAAAGTAATTTATTTTAACAGTTGTATTAATTTCGAGATAGCGGATTTATTACAAAAAAAAAAAAATTGTAAGATCACTTTTCATGAATTTTTTATATTTGAATTTATTTTAAAAATAATAAAAAGAGTATAGTAAATTATTTAAAGATATCGCCATCAGCGGCGATACTCCTAAATTTAGGATAAAATAGCCCTCGTTTATAGTATGAATTCTACAGATTATCTATTCGTCTTTTTACAATTACAAAATTAACAATACAATATTTAAAGCTTTGAGCGAACACCATGAACCCTCGAGCCCATAGGTATATATCATTCTAGTGAGCTATCAAAGCTAGAATATCTAATAAATATTTTAGATATTACCTCCTGAGATATTTAAAAATCAACCATATTCTACTATCTGAAATTATATTATTTAAATTCATATTTATCGAAGGTCCTTGCCCGCCTTGTCCCAAAACTATCAACCTTAGTTGCCACTGTGGCTCCTCGGCTCCCCACATCAGACGATGTGCAGCCTCTGCTTGGTCCTGCAGTCAAAAATGTAGAAGAAAATTGAATTGTGGCCATCACACGTGTGCGCTAAATTGCCATTCTGGTATCTTTAATATTTAAATTGATGTTTATGGTCGATAAAACTATAAAATGAGTTAGGATTTTGTAAGTGCATCCATAAATTCATCATTTATATTGGGCTTAAAAAATTCTGACCAATTCCTTCCTTAATATTAATATAATCCTATTTTACCGTTTTGCGTCAATGCATAACTACTTGATAAACTATTTCTACAGATCGTTAATTATATAAATTTGTCTATGATTACATGGTTGTACTTGTAGTTGAGTTTTTTTTTGTTTGAAAAATAAATATTTCGTAACTAATTTTTGTCATAGATATATATGTTTTTTAAACTCGTCTATTAAAAAAAACACAAATTTTTATTATATAGGTCCTTGCCCGACTTGTAAAAAAGAGAGTTTACAGACTTGCCTATGCGGTCGGGGCTTGGAAAAGAGATCGTGCCAAGACTCATTATGGCAATGTGAAAAAGTTTTTCTTAAAAAAAATATAATTTTTTGTTTTAGTCAGAGATGCCTATATCAATTATCGGCAGATGCCTGTATCTATATATGCCACTACTTTTTTTCGGTACCATGGGCCAATACCAAATTATTGACCCCTATAAAGGTATCGGAATAATATCTAGATAAAATTTTTATACTAAAATACTTATTTTTTTGCACTAAATATTTTTATAATTTATTGTAAAAATTTAGCTTTTTAGACCATTTTAATTTTTTTGATTTAATAAAATTAATTTTAAAAGTTGCCCGCTCTCTTATTACTATTTTTGCTCATATTTTATTATTTAAAGAAAAATTCTTGTAATATTACTTCCATTTAAAAAAAACGAAAATTTTATTTATTCTAAGAAATAGCAAAAAAAATCTCGAATTTATAATAATTATTATATAAATTATAATATTTAAAAAATAAAAATGGATGAATTTAAATAAAATAATTAAGTTATATTGCATATGTTTTTTTCGGTAAATTTTATATATAAGTAGTGGTATTCGACAGTGACGGAATTGGTATCGGTAAAAAAATGATATCTCTCTAGTTCTATTATTCCTTATATTAATTTAGATTTTTTATGATTGATTTAGAGGTTCCTCCAAAGAATCAATGATAAAAAAAAATTCTCATTTTACACGTGTAGAATAATGATACTGCCATCTAATTATCTCAAATCCTTTATTAATAATAAAGATATGTGACAAACCTTTTTCCTGTGGTTATCACGAATGCGAGAAGGTATGCCATGCCGGCCCATGTTCAATATATTGTCCCAAGTCGGGAGAAAGAAGTTGTCCTTGCGGAAAAATCAGTTTAGTTTATTATTTGAAATTTATAATTATATTGTAATTATAATAAAGTTAGCAGGGTTAAATATATTCGTCAAGATTTCGAGTTATCTATTTGAAATGATTTTTAAAAAAATAATTCTCCCAAATAATTTTAATATGAAAATTTTATAGTAATTAAAATATATATTACATCTTCATTTCTTACGCATAAAATAAAGAAGGGGATTGAATTATTTTTTTATTGTCTTTCATTTTATAATATTCATTGTTCAAATTTTGAATCATATATTTGAAAATCAGGATTGAGGGTACTTTTGAATGATACAGGTAAATAGGTTAGTTTAATGAGAGGTATGATCGATTAATTTATAAATTGCTATTTTAATAAAAATGAAAAAGAAAGTCGCAGGATCTCATCTTTTAGTCGATTTTGTAGTTTAGTTTATAAAATATAAAATAAAATTATTGCTCAAACCACAATTTTTAAATGAAATTAAAGAACACAAAGGTATACCCTGTTTTAAAGACGTTCCTTGTTGCGGTCAAACTTGTGATAAACCTATGCCTTGCCGTCTTCATAAATGCCCCGAAAGATGTCATATTGGTACATGCGGATTAGTAAGATCTGAATTTTATTTTAAAAAATTTATTTTATTTTCTTTACAAATATTTGCTTCTCGGTTTCATAGTGAATGCCAGGTTTATTCAGGTAAGCCAGTTTCCCCTCTAATTTTCTTTCTCTATTTTTGACGGTCCTTAACATAAATATTTTTAAGATTCATTTTTCTCATATCTGCCGCTATCACCTTTATCCACATCATCTTGGGCCTTCCATGAGGTCTTAATTCTTTTGCTTCCATCGAGGCTTCTTTCGTTCTATATGACAAAACCATCTCAGTTCTTCTCATTACTACTCTAATCACTTTTATTCCCACATTACTCGCAATTCCTTGCTAGTTTTTCACTCCCTCAGATATACCCTAAACATCTATTTAATTATTCTCATTTCAATTTACCTTAATGAGTCACTTTCATTCTCCATGTTTCTTCGCCATAAACTATACAACTCCTCACACAGCTTACACTGCATTCACAGTTAGTGCGAATTCGCGGCGAAGTATATAAAAATATTATCATTTTACATTCATTTTTGTATACTTCAACAAAAATTCGCACTAACTGAACGCAGGGTTATGTAAACTCTCCCCTTTAACTTCAGTGGGACGTTTTTATATGTTTGAATAGGCGACATCTCTGAACCTCTTCCACCCTTCCACCCTTTGACCCTTACAGCAGCAGAAATAATAAAACATCTTTTCAGAGTTGATCGATTTCTAATATCCTGCCATTATTTTCCACCTTATCATTATTATACCCTTTCACTATATGTTCTACATACACTTTCTATCATCAGGCTTCCATTTTCCCCACTAAATCTTTTGAGCACATATTTCTGGCATCTGATTCATTGAATTGAATTTCTAACAACTCCATTTTAACATACACTCAAGGCCATTTGTTGGATTTCTCTACCTGCAGATTGTCCCCATCATCATCACCTTTGTATCTTCTGTATGCATTCATTTTCAGACCCTTCTTCCATATCCATCTTCCGTATAATAATTTTATCCCCCAATTCTTCCTCGCTGTTTGCGTTTACAAGGTCACCCGCATACTTTTTAGGAACTCCTTCATGCATCTCTCAAGCCACAACATCCGTTAGTAAAATAAATAATAATTGACTTAGCACGGACCATGGTAAAGTCCTATGGCTTCAAAGCTTTTACTATCTCATCCGTCACGACCGTAATTTGTGCACCCACATACATTAGCTACTGCCATAACCAGCCATTCTTTCACGCCTGATTTTCTCAAGGCCCATCTAGTAACCTCACGCGGTACCATGCCTTCTCAAGGTCAGCAAACATATAATATAATTTTCCTTTGCAAGATATTTTTCCTGTATTTGTCTCACCACAAAAATTGCATCTGTTGAACCTTTCCCCGATGTAAAACCAAATTGAATTTCATCAATTTTCGTTTGTTCCCTAATCCTATTCTCTAACACCCTTTACACTTTTATAGCAGATTTTAATCTTTATAAATTATAAAAAAAATAAAATAGAACAGTTTGTCCTCACTGCAGGAACTCGTAAACATTTTTTTTGCAGAAAGATCTATATTTATAGGTCCTCTATCAACACCTAAAAGATTGATTCTTACTAATTAGAATGATTTTTATCACATTGTATACATAGGACCATCTCCAAAAATGTGCATATTTAATAATATATTATTTGGGAAAAAATATTATTTGATCATATGAAACTTTATAATGATTATTGGAAACATTTTTTTTAATCAAATTATTATCAAGATTTTTTAAAATAGGATTTATTAAAAATGTTTTTTTCTTTATCTCTCTTAAACATTTAAAAAAGGAAGATACTTACTAGGTCTTGTAGTGGTTAATGTAAACATCTAATATACATTAGGAAAACTATAAATATTTACTAAATTTTTGATTTTAATCAAATTTAATCATTTATAAAAAAAAAATATAATTTATTTCTCTTATTTTGAATTTTATCAATACTTTTTGTTATTAAACTATAACTGCACTTAATAAAAGATAAAATCTATCCTAAAAAAATATATTGAGTCTCATTTTTAATCCTCGAATTAGTTGTATATTAGAATACAAATATCTCATTATTCGATTGGATTTTCTGGAAGCTAATGATTATATCTAAGAATGAATATTCCTTAGCATATTAATATATTATTTACTTATTGTATCCCACATTTTTCATCTTCAGGACAATTTTAACCAAATTACTTTAAAATAAAATAAAATTTGTATAATCGTTGAAGATCATAAATTAACTTATTTCTTATTTTTATTTCTTAACCTAAACTTTTTTTTTATATATTTAGATTGATTACTATTTAAATAAATTTGTTTATATTTTATTTTGAGATTTTGGCATAACCTGAATATTATCATTCAAATAATGTAATATACTTTTTTAACCATACCGAATTTCCTATTTTATAGACCGCTTAACTTTTCATTTTATTTTTGTTATATTTTATTATTCTTTATTTTTGTTATATAGAGCAAAGAATTATAGAAATTTATTCGCTCTTATTATTATGATTTAATATATCAAAATAAAAAATAATAAAAAACCTTTTGCAAATTATCTTACCATTTCTACAATAATTATATATTATAAGTGTACTTACTCGGTGTTAAAAACTTGTCGTTGTGGGTCAGCTAAAAGAACATTACTTTGTCACAAAGATTACATCTGTGATAACAAATGCGAAAAATATAGGAATTGTGGTGTACATTTGTGTAAAAGAAAGGTTTTTCTATTTTTTTCTTAATTTTATAATATTACAAATTTCATGTTCAACTGTTTACTTCTAATTTTAAAAGGGAACCAGCTGAAACTAATGGCATAGATCCTGATTTCGACGCTTCTAAAAGATCTTTAGTAAGATAAATAGGAAATCGAAATTTTACTAAAAATACGATAAAGATAATTATTATTGTCCAGGAGTCATCAGATATTTTTACCTTTGATTGCGATAATATTTTGGAAATAAGGCTCAGGGATCCAAACCGATCGTAAAAAATAAAAATATCTGTTCGGTTCGAACACTTTTGTATTCAAACCTACATTCGAATTATATATAGAGAAGAATATAATAAAAAACACATACATAAAACTTTCATTATTTTTATTAATTGCACATTATAAAATAATATTTAATTTATAAATGTAACAAATAAATCAATGATTTATTTTATGAACAATATTAGCTTTATTTACTTAAATTTTTTTATTAAACCGCACAATGAATATAATTTCAAGATTCGTCTCACTCAAATTACATTTATAAGGAGGTATAAATTTGATTGGTGAAAACATCTTTCCACACTAACTTGGGTAGCCGCACTGCCAGTATGATATCAGACAATTTGTATTTTTTGATTGTCATCTTCATTATCCTCCATAAATAATTTTACCATCTTAATAAATTTGCCCCATTGTCAGTTGTTATAGTGTATATTTGTGATGTTTTGTTTTCATAATCATTTATTACTTTTATTAAAAGAAGTTTTAAATTTTCTGCAGTGAGCCGTTCAAGAATTTCTTTCATTGCTACTGTTCTCAAAACAATTTGTGCTTTTTGAATATACTGAAGATTAATCCCAATAATGGACCTGTCTATAACGATTAACAATCAATTTTTAGAGATAATAACTTACCATTTATTTCTTTGATTATATTTTACCGAATACTCAAAATTTTAATATTACCCACGTTTTCTAATATAGGATCAAGAATTTTTTTAAACCGCTATCATCGATTAATTTGAATGGTCTGTTATTAAAAGTACCAACTCAGTACAAGCATCGATTATTATTTTTTTAATTTAGTTTTACTGATATAGTTTGTTCTTTTAATGCTTTTTCTATCGTCTGTTGGCTTGATGACATTTTAAATTTATTTTATTAGGCTCTTGTAATATTTTGTTAATTTTATCGAATTCTAGAGGGTGGTTTCTTTTTATGTAACGCTCAAGATTTGCTCCTGATGGCCTTTCATATTTATTTAACAATCAGTATATTACATTTTGATGTGTCATTTATATTACTATATGTAAATAATTTATATTGGATTTGATACAATGGCAATATACTAAAGTTTATAAAAATTATGACTGGCACTTATCAATCAAATGTGGATTGATAATAATCTTTAAAACAATTCGAATATAATTAAAATTTTTGCAATATACTAGTAATAACTTACACATTATTTTATAAGCATAAAATCATGAGGCTCTAACCGGTTCAGAAGCATTTTAGCGGTTCGGTTCAGGTTCGGCTAGAAATTTTTTTAACGGTTTAGGTTCGGTTTAGTTTTTTTAAAAATACGGCTTTTTAGCGGTGTAATAGTTCGGTTCAGGTTCGGTTTGGATCCCTGTCAGGATTAGTGTTTTTAAATAGCTCGATTTGAGCCGATTTTTAAAAACGGCAAAATCAATATTTTATTTAGGAAAATATTATGCAAACCTGAATATTTTGCTCATAGTTGGCACATAGGATTGGGCATATATTCGCGAAATCTCCTGGCTTAGGCAATATTTTTCTAGCTAAAGAGCTAGCCGTTTATATACCATTTAACAAAACTATCCATAAACAATAATAGCTATTGCTTATAACATTTCTAACTGAGCCCTGAGCCGAATCTGCAATCTGACCGAAATAGAATCGTTCGGACTCGGTCAGACATTCTCATATACGCTTATTAGCCGGATCCCTTTTAAAATAGAGATTTTTCGGTTTGTATTTGGATCAAATTCTTATTGAAAGTGATTTTAATATTAACATCAAGTTTTTATTTTAGTATATGGAATATATTTTTTTTGAACTTTTATTGTATAATTTTAATATTATTTATAAAATTTAATATTATAGTGTTGCAATGGGAATTGTAATAATTGCGATCAGGTATGTGGTGCAACTTTGAACTGCAGAAAACATAAATGTACTAGCCCATGTCACAGAGGTTTGCTAATAGTCTTAAAACAAATTATAAGCTCTTATCTATTAACGCCTTATTTATTATTGGCATCGCTACTTCATCAGGGGCTAAAGCCTGCATGCCTTAAATTAGTTTCAAGTTTAACATAACACATTTTTGCGAACTTCGAGATGAGAAATTTTGACAATTTAGCTCTACTAAATAATAAGAAAAGCGATTAACAACGCTGCTTTATTAATAGTTGGTATAGATTGTGTTAAGCATAACATATTGATCATTTACCATTATTATTATTAAAGAATACTTTTCAATAATTTATCTATATTTCAAACCACATAATGACCCATTATATATTAAAAAGACATATTTTATTAATTATAAAATTTACCCACCCAGTGACTAAACTTAATCAAACTACCTACTATTAAAGCGTATGCGAATATAATTAATTTAGGTATGTGTTATCCCTGTCCTTTGACCATGAAAATCTCATGTGCTTGTGAAAAGACGGTTAAAAGCGTTCCATGTGGTAAAGATAATCATATTAAACCTCCGGCCTGTAAAGAAATTTGCAAGTTAAATCTATTAAATAACTTGCATTCTTTTGTTGTAATAAATAAATATTTTGAATAATCATAATCAGTCGAAAATTTTGACAAGTTGTTCAAGGAATTAATTTAGTGGTAATTGATTTGTCATCAAATAATTTGTACTAAATATAAATAACTTTATAAATATAGAGTAAAAAAAATTTGCAAGTTTATTATACGTCTCATTCTATGATCACAATTTAGTTATTTGCAGAGTCATTTATATAAAATATTATATTCTATTTAGTTGCTTTTGTTAAACCTGATGATTCTAATCAAGATTTAAATGCTTTAAAAAAATTGATTCATAAATAAAGCCATTTATTTTGTTATTAGGACTAAACCACGTTGTCACCATGATGTATTAAAAGAGCATTTGTGTCACTTTGGACCTTGTCCTCCATGCGAATTAACTTGCAACAAAGAATTACTATGCGGGCATAAATGTTTGCAAGCCTGTCACGATTTTCAATACGTTTTTAATGAACCCACAACTGCTAATGTTAGTAAAAAAATTATGAATTTATGTTTATAACATTTTTTATCCTCAAATATTTTTATAAAACTGAGGCATCATTTTAAAACTGTTGAAAAAATACCATTTTTAATTTTCATTTTTTTAATATACCATTATGATTTGAATTTAAGTTTAAAAAATTGATGAGATATTTTTTTTAAAAATATCAGTTTATAAAAAAATATATATTAGTGCTGTAAAGTAACGTCGTAAAGTAACGTCGTTACTTTTTTTGAGGAAATGGAACGACCTTCGTTACTTGTTTCAAAAGGTACTTAAAAAATATGTGTAAGAAATATTTTTTATTTTATTATACATTATTGAATTTTATAAGTAATTTAAGCTAAGTTTTAAATTCAGATCATCCCCATAAGGTCTTCCTTTTTATTTTATTGATTATATTTTTGTTGTTGAATTTCTTACACTCAATATTGATAATCTAATTAAATGTTGATTTATATTTTCTAATATTATAATTTATTTTATAAAGAAATATATGTTAATAGTACTTATTAGTGATCTGCATCGGGCCTAATTTTTCATGCCCGGCCCGGCCCGAATTTATTTAAATATAGAAATAATATTTCAAATAATCTACAGCTAATAGCAAACTAAGCCACATCCTTAAACAAGATGTAATAACGAAATGAAACTCTGTATATATCATGATACAGAGTTTCTTAAAATCATATTCTGAAATACAGATGTACTTGTTTAGCAAGCAAGAATTTAGATTAACCACAATTGATATCAACATCATAAGCGAGTTAGATAAATTTTTATCGATATTTAAAAGATGCTTGGATAATCTGAGCGCAGATTTTCGTCTCACAATAAATGAAGTTTATCTATGGAAACAAAAATTAGTAAAATTTTGTTAACCTTCTGAACATGATACAATAATTATCAAAACCTTAAAAAACAGAACAAGATTTCTTTTAAAAGATAGATTTATTATGTAGCTACTACATAAGGTAGGCTTAATTCTAGATTCGAATTTCAAAAGTCTTATTTAATAGAAGAAGAAAAGGATGAACCTGCGAAATGATATAAAATTAGTTCATAAGTCAATGCCAACTATCATTTATACCTTTCCTAATTCACCCTACACTCATAAAAAACCGTATATTCTAAATGAAAAATTTAGAGAATTTCTAGTTGATTCTGATGAAGCATCAACATCTACCGATGAAAGTTGTGAGGATGAACTTAAAAGATTTTTCGCTCATAAGACAAATAACAAGACAATATTTTGAAGTTTTAGATGCAGGAATATTCATTTCCTTTTTTGAGAAAATTAGCGAGTAAAATCTTGTCAGCCCCGGCAAGTTTATAGTGAAAGGTTATTTTCTGTAGCCAATCTCTTTTAAGAGGAAAGGCTTACACAATTGAAATAAAAAAAGATGGACATTCTTCTTTTTCTAAATAAATTTCGATTTATAGATTGTATTTATTTTTTATTAATAATGGAAATTAATAAATTCAAAAAAGTGTAAAATAATAGCAATAGTTTTGAAAAATTTAGTGAATTTTCGGGCGTGAATCAAAATACTGCCTTTCGTGAGCGGGCGGGTCATGAATAAAAAATTAGGCCCGCGCCCACCTTTATTTTGAGCACTAGCGCCCTTGTCTATCTGATCAAAATTCTGAAAACCAATTGTTGTTAAAAATAAATAATTATATATATTTAGTATTTTTTTAAGTAACGATTAGTTCGTTACTTTTTTTTGAATAGCGAGTAATGGGTTATTTTTTTACAAGATAATTAGAAACGGGTGTTCCTTATTTTAAAGCGTAACAGTAACGCGTTTCTTTTTTTAAATAAGGTTTATAGCACTATCAAATATACATTGTAAAAAGGATCAAGATGACTAACCAATGAATAATTCTTTTTTTTAAATATTATAAAATTGTTCATACAAAAATAATTGGCAACTTTTATTGTCCTATTATCTTCTTTAGTTTAAATTTATCATCAATAAGCTGGATCCAAATATCAGATGAAAATTTATCTTTTTGGTTCCACCCACTTCCCCCCCCCCCCTTCACTGTATGCAAATATATTATACACATACGATAATCTAAGGGTGTTGTAGTATATTAACTTGATGAATTCATTTATAAGATATTTAAAATACTTTAAGTTTACACTTTTAAATTGCTACAATCTATATAGAGTTTTTTGGAAGGATTTTTTGTCAACTTGATGATAAATCAATTAATTTTACTAAAATTCTACAAATATTAAAAAGAAATATATGTGCTCAATTAGAAATTTATATATATACAAAAAAAATATATATAAATTTTTAAAGAAAGAAAAATTATTGAAAAATTCAATTCATAAATTTTCATTTAGACCTTTATTAGGGCTTGAAATATCGATTTTCGCATAAAATTTGTGTTTAAATTTGAAAAAGGCGGATATATTATAAAATGTTTCAAAATGATGAAGGGAAATTATGAAAATAAAGAAATATTCCACTCTTTGATAAACATTTGGAAATATGTAAAATAAAATTTATTAAAATTTTTTTAAAAATAATTCATTTTTTATATTTAAGAAAAATTAACCAATAATTTTTAATACAAATGATTTGCTATTTGAATTCGTTTCTAAATTCATTCTTATAACCCTAGCCTAATTAAAACTACAATAAAAATGATTTGGAAAAGTTATAAATTGGCCCTCGGAAATATATGTATATTAGTTAGACTGGGTACTTGCTAGTGTTGTTAAACGGCTCGTTTTGAGCCACTTTTTAAAAATGGCTAACTCAATATTTTAGGCAGAAAAATATTGCCTAAGTCTCGAGATTTCGATAATATATGTTTAGACCTTTGTTCCTTCTATGAACAAATCTTCAGGCTTGCGTAATATTTTTATGGATGAAATATTGAGTTGGCCGTTTTTAAAAATCAACTCAAAACGAGCCGTTAACAACACTAGTACTTGCGTCAGTAATATAGCGTTAAGAGACACGTCCCGTCTGGATATAGCGCCTTAATGGCGGACGAAATAAACATTTGAAATTTATTATTTGAGAAAACTAAATCTTTGGGCCCTTCGCATAGAAAATTCTTATGAGCCTCTCCCCACAACTAAAAAACCCTTTTTAAAAAAATAGGAGGCCCATCGTGGCGCGGTGGTGTTCGGTGCGCCACTGGAAATTGGTTTCATATATTCAATTTTTAAAATAACTTCCTGCATTATTGAAATATTGATTACATAGTTGAAGATATTTCTGAATTGTGAATAATGTCGAAGTAGAAGAAAGACCTACCAATATTCATAAATGGGGTTTTTATAATCCTAAATTTAAAATAATAAAATTAGACATGTTGAAATTATGATGGCTGGAAAAAATTTTAACTGACAGGGGCAGGCATTTCACAAAGTTTCAATTAGTCGGGCCTTATCTGACTTCTCTTAAATTTTAACGGGCCGGGTAATTTGTGCAAAAATTCTTATACTGTATGGCCAAGCTTCGATTTCTAGCGGAACTATATATACTTTAAAAAAAACTCCTATGTTTATAGGAAATGGTGTAAATGGTGCACCGTAAAAATAAGTAATGGGTTAACTTAATATTTTTATTGTTTTTGTCTATTTAAAAAATCATATCTACCTAACCTTCAACAATGCCACATCAGTGGCGTCATTAGCTTTTACAATTTTAGGGGGCCTGAGAATTTTTTTGCTAAAACTTTTGAAAATAACCTTTTTTTAGATATTAATTTCAAAATAACCTTATTTTTTTTAGGTATTTTTTAAAAAAATAAAAAATTTTTTGAAGGCTCTTAAATTTTTTTAGGAAATTTGTGCTTCCCCCCCCCTTGTGACAATTCTGCACATTATCATATTTTATTATACATCGACATTAAAACGACAATTATACAAAACCTAATTGTAATAATTAAAGAAATTCATTATTAAGTCATCGGAACAATCGATCCTTTTAATGTTAATCTTCAATTATTTGTTTAAATTATCATGGAAACGTTCTATCGCTTCAATTAGTCTACCATTCGACCAAAAATTTAGGACAGGTAGAATGGCACGTATGGCGCATTCCATCCTAAAAAAGGCCAATTTATGATCCTTTCTAGACATTAGTGAGGCGACTTAGGATTAACTGGATATTTCCTCATGACAAACCAGCATATCTCACGACAGCGGAAGATGTTTAAATATTGTGCTTTTTCTAATTAAAAATATTTTTTATACATTCCTATTATTGACTATTACTAAAGAAAGAAGCAAACTATCAGATTACAACAAAAAAACGAAACGCTCCTTGGGAACCCAAAATCGAGCTTAAATTAACTCTTACGAATTCTGAGTGCCCCCCTTGCAAGCAGCTTATCGCGTTGAAATGTTTAGGAAATCATATGGTAATTTTTTATATAAATATGTTATTTTTAATCCCACCAAAGATCTATTTTTTTAACTCTTAGAGGTTTATACCGATCACATAATTTATATAGACATATACCCTTCTAGGGAAGCTTTCTCAATGTTTACTTTTCAAGATTGCAATTATATATTATTTTTTTGTAAATATTAAAATTATTCTGTTAAATAGCTTATATTTTTTTTTATAGACCAAGAATTTTGAATGTAATGAGGCAGAGCGTATAGGCTTCGTATTTTCTTGTGGCGTTGAGTGCGGTCGCATTTTACAATGTGGCAATCATACCTGCTCAAAAATTTGTCATTCTAACACTAAAGACTTAGACGGTTTAAAAATTTTGATTTTTAAACTTGATAAACCACTAAATTTTGGAAATTTTAACTTGTTTTAAATATTTTACACTTTTATATAAATAATTCTTAATCTTTATATCTTATATAGCAATTTTTTTTATATTAACAAATTAAATTGTGATGTGAAAATTCCGAGGATCGTGAATAACGGCATCTTTCTGCATGAGAGAAAATAATTTTAAGGCATTCAAAATATTCTTTATTCCCTACCCCTTAGAAGCCCCTTCCCCGGAAGATATATGGAGGCAAATATTGTACATACTGGAAATTCTAAAAGAATTTATTAAACTGGGATTAAGGCCATTTAACCAGAAACTATGTGTAGTTTTAGTAGTAGCATTTATTCACTTAATATCTTACTTCAGTGGTAAAACTATATACATGAATAAGATATTTTTACCCGGTGTAGCCCGGACTTTGGAATAGAATTATCAAACCCTTTTTTTTTATCTGATGATAAATAATTTCGGGATCAGGATGGAAGCTAATTAGCACACGCTATTTATTTTATTTAACAGATCAGTGCGAGATTTGCGAAAATCCATGTCAAAAATCTAGACCGATATGTTGTAATCACTCTTGCGATAAACTCTGGTGTCACCCTGGCCCATGTCCCGAATGCTTTAAAATGGTGAAAATTGATTGTCATTGCAGTTTAAACAAAGTTTATATAGAGTGCTTAACTTTTAGAAACCTTAGAGAGACGAAAGGGAATCTAGAGAGAAAGAAGGATTGCGGGGATATGACTGACAATTTCATGGATGACCCATTATCTTGTAAAAATAGATGTCCCAAGCTGGTAAGATATTTTATAAATAATATTTGCTTACATTTTGAGAAATTATTTTCACTTTCATGCATCTTGTTATAGTACAAACAACCAGGTCGGTTTATAGCTCTAAAATTATTTAGGCATAATTTCCTTTTTTTAATAACCATTAGCCCTAACACGTTGTTTTGGTAAAATCAAAACGAATCAAATTTTGAAGTGTGTATTATATTCTTGAAGCAAAACCTTAGCCAACATCAGGCCTTTGCCTATATCTAATAAATAAATATAATTGAATCTTGTATTTAGGTTATAATAATTGGAGTCTTGCATGGAATTAATAATAGATCTTGAAAAGTATTTTATTCGTATTATCCACTTGGAGTATATATTCAATGATCATCATCGGATATATTTGACAAAAACTATGAAAATATAATAAAATTATATGGTTAATAATTCTTAAATTAAATATTTACTTTTATTTTATGATAATGCACAACACTATTTCCACTTGCCAGAGTTGCTACGAAAATTAAAATATAATTTAATAATGAATTATAATTTTATTTTATTATTTAATTTTGAAATTGAAATTTATATTTTTTTGTAAACTGTGTATGTGAGACAGATATTGAAAACCCATTAAATTCATTTTTTAATTTATTAAATATGCAAATGAGTATTTTATATTTAAAAAATTTATTTGTAAAACTAAATACCTCATTATCTTCAAGTAGTGTTGAGCGCAGGGTTGGGCAAATTTTCAGAAAATTGTATTCGGATACAGATACTTTATAAAATTTATATTTAAGATACAAGATACTAAATACTTTAGAAAAATTTCAATAAGATACAAGATACTTGTATTTTTTTAAAAAAAAGTATCTATGAAACAAGATACTTGTATTTTTTTTTAAAAAGTATCTAAGATACAAGATACTTTTTAAAAAAACTTTAAATAGTCAAAATCAAAATGTATAAAGCTTTATTTTCTTATCTATAATATAAATTTATAAAAAAATATTTAAAATAAATTGTATAAAATAACAAATTTCCATTTAATAATTATATAATTAGTAAATAATAATAAATCAGCATCATAAATCAGCATTATTTTTTAATATTATTAATATTTCAAATAATTTATCGTTCAATCTTTGATAATTTGGTCTATTAACTATATTAGCAAAGCTAAATAATCTTTCAACGGGGGCTGAGGAGGGTAATATTGTGTTATATTTAATAAATATTTCTTTTATATATTTATAACTATTTAACATATTTATACTCCGCCTGTCATCTTTCATATAATTTAGGACCTCTATTTCAATAACTTTATTGAATTATTAGAATTGGATGTGGTACTTTTAAAGCAAAAGTAATCATCATCTTCATCAATTGAAGATTTTGTTGAAGTATTAATTTCAATATTATTTTTAAAAACAATTAAAACTTCATGTAATAACAAATCTTGAAGGTATTATTTTTCTTTTTCACCATCAATCCAACGATTTTTAAAATAAGGATGAGAAATAGTTGCCAAAAATGCACTTTTAAAATTGTTATCAAATCATATATATTTTTTAATTTTATTTAAAAAATTTTCTATGGCAATAGCTAATGGTTTGCAAAATTGTAGATTGGTTTGAATTAAATTTGTAATTTTTTTTTTAACGATATTTAAAATTGGAGCTGATTCTCCATAATAGCAGTTGATTTCACTCTGTATTTTGTCAATCGCTATAGCCAATGGGGCCATTATATTGCAATATTCTTCTAAATATTGAATTTTAATATCTATTAATTTAGGAAATTCTAATTTTTGACATAATTAAGGAAGTTCGCCTTTAAATTTTAATAAACTATGAAGACTATCATACAAACTATTCCATCTATTGCAACAAGGTGTAACTAATTGTTTTCCTAAAACTGCTTTGATAAGTTTTGCAGTTTTAGGCCTATTATTTGCATTCCATAGCTTATTACATTTAGCTATTGCAGGATGATACATTTTAGAAATGTTAGGAGAATCCTTAATCTCTCGACATCTGTTGTGGCAATTAGACTTATCCTATGGCACAAACAACAAATGTGTTGAAGCAATGTTATTGAGGCTTCTTTAGACCCTTAAATAAACAAATAAATAATTTTATTTGAATAAAATTTTTTACTAAATTTAAAATATCATAATAAATTTTTTCTAATTCTATACAATTCATCATCATTGATGTCAAAGTCATTCTCTACAGCTTCCATAGAATATCCAAACTCCTTGAAAGCTTTCTTAAAGTTAGAGCCGTTATCTGTAACAGTTGCTATAACTTTTCGTCAATACCAAAGTCACGATGAATTTCATCAACTAATTCTGCTATTTTATTATAGGTGTGGCTTCCTGAAAATCTTCTCACAACAAGGGCACGAGATTATCTTTGTAAACTATCACTTGAGAGCTTATTTAAATATTTATTTAATTGAATTTTTAAATAAAATAGCATATTATTTCATTACCCAGTGACAAGTCATTCCAAGAAAGCTTCAAGTCTTAGTAGACCAAATATCTGCAGTAGTGCAGATGTATGTCTGAGCTTTCAATAACTGTTTTAAATTATCAGTTTCATGTATGAAGCTTTCATCAATTTTTCTTTGCAAAGATCTTCGAGAAAAAATTTTAATTGGATTTCCAATACAAGATAATATTTATAATAAATTGACAAGTAGAAGAAATAAGGATAAGAGAAAAAAAATTGAATTTACCTTCCATCATTTTGACAAATTTCTTTTGCTCAACTATGGATAATGGATGCATTCCTTTTACAACAAATGAAGTAAATAAATTATTAAATTTATCTTGAGATATTTTTTTCTTGTTATCATTTGAAAATTCTAATTTTTTTTGAGTTAATGAAATAGTTTTCACTATTTCTTTTTGTTTTTTCTGTTTGTGTGATATTTTATGATGGGTCATATAATTTTTATATGATTATAGATGACGTCTCTATAAGTGAAACAAATAATAAAATATTTTATATTAGATATTTACTAATTTTTTTGTAAAAAATTCTACTTTTAATGATAAAATTAGATGAAATATATTTATATTAAAATATTTATGAACTTTTGTCTTATTTATAAATAATAATTAATACCCATTAAAATTTTATAAATAATTTTTGTAAAATCATTAAAAAAATACATTTGTAAGAATTTTTTTAAAAATAATTTTTAAAAAAATTATATATTTTAAGCATATATGTAAAAATTAAAAAAACACATGGTGGATTAAATATTGCTAAGTACTATCTATCATATAAAAATGGTGCCCCAAATATTTAGATTATATTTTGGCCTAGTGTTCAAATTAACAACCTCCTTTTTTATCAGTATTAGTTTTCTTATTCATTTCATAAATGATTTTTATCAATAATATGAAAATTTATTTTAAAATACTTCTAAATTTGCAACAGATATGGAATATGAAATGATAATGAATATGATTATAAATGTGATTCATTATATAATTATATATTATACTTTTAGATGCTTGACAAAATTTGATGACGAATCCGCAGAACCATTTATAGGTTTGTGGCATTCTTTACATTCTGCAGTAACTTTATCATGATCATCTTGAAATACTTCAAAAAATTTGCCATTAAGTATGCTTAGTTTAAATTTATTGTTATAATTTTCGGTAAGAATCATCTGAAGACGAAGATAAACATATTATTCTATTTTCTTCTTCCGTAATTTTAAAATAGACAGATATAAAACGATTCAAATATGGTAGTTCTAATTATTAACAAATTGTTCTATGACGACCAACGTCATATATCAAAAATTATCTTAAAATATCTAAATTTTGATTAAATTTTTCATTTAAATTTTAAAACAATATCATTTTAAATTTTAATACTATTTAAATTAACCAATATAAATTTTTTTTAAAGTATCTGTATCTTTTTGAATACAAAGTTGGTTAAGATACAAATACTTTTAAATAATATGTATCTTAGATACTGGATACAAGATACTTTCCGAAATTTTAAAAAAGAAACAAGATACAAAAGTATCCTGTGATACAAATATCCGCGATACTGCCCAACCCTGGTTGAGCGTTAGTAAGGCTAAACTTCTAATATTGAAATTATTTTAAAATGTAATACAATAAATAAAAAATAAATAATTATTTTTATTACATTAATTATTGTCCTTTTATATAAATTCTTTTATAATTAATAAACTTTTAAATATGTTAATTTTTTTTATATTCACAAATAAAATACATTATATATAACCAAAAATTAAAAAGATTTAGTATTAAAATAAGTAACGGTAGCTAATAGCGCGCTACTTGGTTTTGACAGGTTAAAGTAGCGTTAGCGTGATACCTTTTTGGCAAATAGCGTTAGCGTGCTACCTTTTTGGCAAATAGCGGTAGCGCGCTCCTTTTAAAAGTAGCTTCTAACAACACTGTCACTTGGCCCAAATCTGACTAATATAAGTTATTTTTGAATATGGGATCAGGGGCGTCACTAGCCTGGGGCTTAAATTTTTTTAGTTAACATTTTTAAATTCAGAGGGCTCGATCCCCTGTTCCTCCCTTTCAGTGACCCTGACACAGGTTATACATAACAAGATTCACTTTTTTTAAAGTCTATATTTTTTAAACTTTTTATATCAACTTAGTTAACTAAATGCGGACATAGATGTACTCAAATATGTCACCCACCACCTTGTGCTGCAGACACTTTAGATAATGTTATTAATTCTCAAGACAAGCATAATAGTGTTAAAAAAATATGTACGGCAAAAGTTAAAGTTTATTGCCCTTGCAAAAAAATTAAAAAACTTTTATCTTGTCATCAAGTCAATTACAAAGGCTATAATGTATCATGTGTACAATCTTGCAGTGGGATAAATGATGAAGCTCAAAATAATGAAAACATCCAAGAGAGCTTTAACAAATGCCATGATGATATCCTTATTGATAATAATAAATTCAAAAGTAATTGTACGAATAATTTTTTTGTTGTCTTTGGATCCGCTATAATGCTTCTGATAGCTGTGATTATTTATCATAAAATGTTTTAGTTTTATTATTAAAAGCATTTAAATTTTAACGGCTCAAGTTGTTGCAAATTGTTATTATATTTATTTGTGATATATAAATAAATAAAACTAGTCTTAATTATGTAATGTAACTTTACAGTATAATATAACGATATTTTTACTAGTATTATATGATGATCAAAAACGTTATAATTTTAAACAGACGGGTAGTATCAGACGTCAAATGGATATCTTAAAACAATAATAAATAATCAATATCTAAATTAAATATATAGATTTTTTAAGATCAATTAAATCGTTTCATAAAGCCATATTTTTTACTTTTAATGTTTGCTTTCATAAATAAATCTTTAAAAATAAGATTTGTAAATTTTTTTGTTTTTGGGACTATTTTATATAACTTTTTATCTGTAGTAATTATAATTATCATTACATATAATTTTATTTTTATTCCTAATTTTAAATCACACATCCATGTCATCATAAGTTTTATTTGGAATTTTATAGTATACAACTTCTTTATTTTATTATATTATTAAGAGTGTTTTATAGGTATAGTTAGTGTTGTTAATTAGTCGAGTACTTTCGACTACGACTAATAGTCGTAGTCATGGAAATCGACTAAAACGACTAGCGACTAATTTAGTCGACTAAAACGACTAATATAGTCGACTAAAACGACTAATTTAGTCGACTAAAACGACTAATATAGTCGACTAAAACGACTAATATAGTCGACTAAAACGACTAATATAGTCGACTAAAATGACTAATTTAGTCGACTAAAACGACTAATTTAGTCGACTAAAACGACTAATATAGTCGACTAAAACGACTAATATAGTCGACTAAAACGACTAATATAGTCGACTAAAAAGGCTAATATAGTCTACTAAAACAACTAAATTAGTCGACTAAGTTGATCTATTTAGTCAGCATATAGGTAAAAATATATATCATAAACATATTAAGTTAAAATTTATGTCAAGATTTACCATAGAAAAGTGACAATTGTCATAATCGTTATTTTTGAACTTATTTGAATTTTTTCAAAGCAAATGTAAAAATATATATTGTATAAAGATGTTAAAATAAAATTAGTGAAGATACCATAGAAAAGTGACAATTGTCATAATCGTTATTTTTTTAACTTTTTTGAATTTTTTTAAAACATATAGGTAAAATATGTATTTTAAAGATGTTAAAATAAAATTTCAGTGAATATGTACCATAGAAAAATGACAATTGTCATAATATTTATTTTTCAACTTTTTTGCTGAAACGAGCTGACTTTAACCTACGCCCGTTATTAATAACTGCCATAATTGACATTTATGGTTTCGCTAACCTCGCTAGCTCTAAATTGACAAATCATGATTGAAATAATATCTAGATTTCCTAAATACTCATAAAACTTATTCAATTTGTAGAAGAGTTTATAAACTTTTCAATAAAATTTAAAATATATAAATTATTATATATTTTAATGAAAATTAAAATTCTGTCATGTAAAAATCTTTTGAAAATTTCACAAAATTTTATTTCTAAATAAAAATTTTAGCAATCATTTATTAATGAAAACTATATTAGGATAAAATTTTAACCTTCTGGTTTATTTAATTTTAAAATGAGATTAAATAGTTTTCCAAGCCCCGGGGTTTACCTAACCCTAGTCTCCCCTATACTATTTTATAATTATGTAATTTAACTTCTAATATTTTGTAATTATATTGACTTCAATATAATTGCTATAAGAAGGTTATAATATTGTACAACAAAATATTCAAATAAGCTTTGAATTAGTGATCTGCAATGGGCCTAATTTTTCAGGCCCGCCCGAAATATTTTTAAAAAAGTTTACCCCGGACGAAACGAATTTTTTTTTAAAAAAATTTACCGGCCCGGGGCCAAATGCTAAATGAATTCCTGTTTTAAATAAATTCCAATTTAGTGATATTGACATTTATGACTGACATGTTAAGATTTAATATTATTTTTTAGTGATATTGACATTTATGACTAACGCGCATATATTAAATATAATATTTTTAATGATACTGACATTTATGATTGACGTGTAAAGATCAAATATTATATTTTCTATTGTTATAGATATTTAAGTAATTCCCTGTTTTAACTAGATTGTAATTTAGTGATATTGGCATTTATGACTGACATGCTAAGATCAAATATAATATTTTAGTGATATTGACATTTATGACTGACGTGTAAAGATTAAATATAATATTTTTATTAATACTGACATTTATGATTGACGTGCAAAGATTAAGTATTATATTTTCTATTGTTATAGATATTTAAGTGAATCCCTCTTTTAAATAGGTTCTAATTTAGTCTATTGGCATTTATGACTGACATGTTTTTTGTAGTCTTAACGGAAAAATAACTAACAATAACTTTGCTTTTTTAGACTTTATTTTTGGTTTCTACAAATCAAAATATATAATATTAAAAAAATAAATTACAATCTTCGAATCATGAAAAAAAAACATTATTATTTCTTTTAAAATAAAATACAAAAATATCTTTGACCTCATTTCTTTTTCATATAAACATAATATATCTTTGACATCATTTCTTTTTCATATAAAAATATAATATATCCTTGACATACTACAACACGCCCCCTTAACAAAAATCTTGGGCAAAATTATATATATTTTTTTTTAAATCACTATGCAAAAAAAATTTTAATCATTCAAAAAAAAATCAGCGTATAAGCATTCAATAAATGATTCCCATAATTTTTTGTTTGAACCATATTTTATGTCTGCATTTCTTCTTTATCACTTACACTCAATCAGATCTTGATAATTATCCCAGTACTTTTAGAAGGTCGATTCTAACATTGCCATCCTCCTTTCTTTTAGGCGATTTTAGTAGTATCCTCATAACTTTTTGTCCTCCTAACATAGTGTCGTTCCTCTTTTACGTTGGACATACGATGTACATGGGTAGTGATTGCTTCTTGATTACACGATTATCTACATCTTTATTAACCAGGAACTATCCTAAATATTTTCTTTTTTTGCAATTTCCTCTTTCAACCATTTCTATGCACTCTCTTCCGCAACTGATCCCTGTGCCTGACACCTTCACTATTATCATCAAATTTTACCCTATTTAATTTGTTTCCTAAATTCTCTATTACTACTCCTTTCTCCCATTTTTTTTGTACTTCCATATAATCTAATCCACACTAACTGTCCCACAGTATATTTTAATTCCCTTCTATCAATATCCTTTATAACTACCTCAGCTTCACTGGGTATTAACATATCTAAAAACATCCTGACATTCCGGCCTATCATTTTTTCTGCCGGAGACAAACCATCATTACCCATCGCATTATTATAATACAAATGCTTCACCCACATTTCTCCTTTTCCACTTTTGGTTTTCTTCAACCATCCTTTAACCCTCGCTACAATCCGTTCCACCTGTCCATTGGAACTGGGATGATACGGTGGCGTTAACACATGATATACACCCATTTTTTCACAGAATCTCTTGAATTCTTCCCCGATAAAAGCTGGTCCACCATCCGATACTACAGTTTTCAGAATACCAAACTTCGCCCATATTTTTTAAAATGTTTAATCACAATATTCGCCGTTAACCCATGAATTTCTTTAAACTCTATCCATTTGGAGAACGCATCTACACTTAATATATACTTTTTTCCTTCATATTCGAATAAATCAACATGAACCCTCTCTCCTGGTTCTACAACTTTTAGCCATGTACTATTTTTATCCTTACGGGGCATGTCAGACCATGTATTACAAATCTCACATTCTTTTCCCAATTTATCAATATCCTCTTTCATTTTCGGCCACCATACGTACTCTCTTCCCCATTGTTTCATACGAGTAACTCCTTGATGACCCGCATGTATAACATTCAAAATTTTTTCCCTCAATTATCGGGGTATAACAGCTCGGGGTCCCCTCATAATACAATCGTCTACTATAGTTAATTCTGTTTCAATATTTTTGAAAACTTTATCATAATTTTTCCATGATCTCTTTCCCATTATACATAATTTAACTATCGCTAATTCTCTATCTTTCCTTGTAAACCTTTGTATATCTTCCCATGTCGTTGGGCTACCCTTTATACTTCTCATTATCGTACGTACAAGACATTCTTCCCGATTATCAATTTTCAAAATCACCGATTCATCCAAACTTTCGCCAGCACCTAACCTTGACAAAATATCAGGTAACTAATTCTCTTTTCCCCTTCGATATTTTAAATCCAGATCAAAACTTCCTACTAACAATAACCATCGCTGAAGTCGAGGCGATAACATCAACTCTTTGTTATCTTTCTTGAATAAGTGGACCAACCGCTTATGATCTGTAAAAACAACAAACTTCCTACCTATAAGGTATTCCGACATTTCGTTAATCCAAAAATCACAGCTAAAGCCTCCTGCCCTATCACTGAATACCTCTTTTCTACCTCTCGAGAAAAATAAAACAGGTCTTTCCATTCCATCTATCAAATGCAACATCGCTCCACCTACTCCTCTATTACATGCATCTACAGCCAAAACTACTTCCAGATCACTATTAAAACATACTAGAATGGGCTCTTTCCCAATTTTCTCTTTTAACGTTCTGAACGCAATCTCTTGTTCATCTTTCCATTCAAAATGTACCCCTTTCCTTAATAATTCATATAAAGGTGCAGCTATTTCCACAAAACTCGATATAAACCGATGGTAATAATTTACCATTCCCATAAACGACTGGACCTCTACTTTACTGGTCGGCCTATTCAAATTTGCAATACTCAACAAATTCTTATCTAACGGGTTTACCTCCAATCCATTAATCCTATGACCCAAATACGTCACTTCAGTTACTCCCAACACACTCTTTTCACCACTCGCCTTTAATCCTTTATTTCGTATTCTAATAAATACTTCTTCTAGCCTATCATCATGTTGTTTCATCGTTATCCCTACCACCAAAACATCCATATAATAAAAAACACCCTCTAAACCTTGGAAAACAGCAGCCATTGTCCGCTGAAAAATAGGGGCTGATACACTTAACCCAAATGGTAATCGACAAAATGTAAACAATCCCTTGAATGTCGTAATCGTCAACAACTTCCTAGTCGTTTTCGCCATCGGTAATTTCAAATATGCACACGAAAAATCAATCTTGGAAAAATATTTTTCCCCTTTCAAACTGGCCATTTCTTCTATTCGCGGTAACGGATATTTCACCTCTACAACCCAAGGATTCAAGGTCACTCTAAAATCTGCACATAACCTCAATTTTCCATTGGTCTTTCTAACAGGAACCAACGGAGTTATTCACTGTAACCAATAGGACAAATAATTTCATCTCTCGCCCAGTTGTCCAACTCTTTTTCCATTTCCGCCCTCCATTCAAATGGAACTCTCCGCACCGGACAATACTGCGGTACAAAACCTTCCTTTAAACGGATATCAACTTCATAATCCACTAAACATCCTAATTTCTCCTCAAAAATTTCACTATAACTATTCATTAAAACTGCCACTGCAAGTTTCCAATTTTCCAAATTCGACAATTGTTCCTTTCCTTCCCCTCCATTAATCTTCTTTTCCTCTTTTTTTCTTACAAATTTCGCCGGGAAATTCTGTAACACTGGTATATCTTTCTTTCCATTATCCAGTTCCTTATACATTTCTTGACTAATAATTTTCTCCTCTATTTCTTCTGTTTTTGTGACTATTTTTATTTCATCATTATTTCGCTCATTAATACATTTTCTACAAGGTATTTCCTTTTTTACCTCTCCAGGATCGTCATTTTCCATAATATTAACACTTTGCGACAACTCAGTATATCTTACCTTTCTTTTTTTAACTGGAACTATCCGTGTTTGCGGCATATTTTTTTTTTTCAAATTCACCTTTTCGATTACCCATCACACCATTTCCAATGATTTCACTTTTTGCATGACATAATTCTCGATTTTTTATTTCATCGTTCTGAACTTCAATCATTTCATCCCGTTTAATTTCATTTGAAAAGATACCCCAAAAATTATTTAATGGACCTATCTTAACAATCCATTCCCAACCCATAATAGTATCCACCTTTTTATCTACAATCCACAAATTTAAATAATTAACTATATCATTTATTACAAACGGCACTTCAATTTTTCCTACAACCTTTATTTCCGATCCATCAAAGTGTTTAACTCTCATCTCTTCTTTAATTATATTCTCCTCTGGCCAATATCTACAAAAATTTTCATAACCTACGATCGATATTGCCGCACCTGTATCCAATAACATCGATATTTTTCTACTTCCTACAACTATTTCCACACGAGGACATTTATCCTTCTCACTTTTGTCCTCTAATTTTAAAACAGAGATTCTATAATCCTTTATAATACCACCATTTACCAAATTTACATTTTTTTTACCTACTATATCTCTCTTAATTTCTACATCTCCATCCACACAAAATTCCATTTCATTCTTTAATGTAATACCCTCCATTTTATTACTTTCACTATCATCTAGTCACCTCTCTCGACATTCTATTGCACTATGTTCTTCCTTTCTGCATTTAAAACACATAACTTCAACTTTATCTTCTTTCAACTTTATCTTCTTTCAACTTTATCTTCTTTCAACTTTATCTTCTTTCAACTTTATCTTCTTTCAACTTTATCTTCTTTCAACTTTATCTTCTTTCAACTTTATCTTCTTTCAACTTTATCTTCTTTCAACATATCATTATTCTGTAGCACTCTTACATTAGATGCCGGTGCTATGTATTTCACTGCCGGAAATGCTTCCCCATTTATCGGTTCTTTTACATAACAATTCTCTTTAGCATGTCCCATTTTTCCACATCTTTCACATTGAAATGTTCTTTGATTATTTCCCATAATACGATAAGTCGCAACATAACATTTTTCACTACTATGTCCCATTCCTCCACATCTATTACATTTAATCGGTTGCTTGTTAAACATTGCACCGTTCTGAACACAATTTCTACCTATATGCCCAAATTCTCCACATGAATAGCATTTTACATTTTGCATATTAATCTTAGGACGATTAAATCTATTTCGGAAAAAATTTTCTTTTTCCCAATTTTCCCTTTCATTTCTCTGCAAATTCATTGACGTATTATACTCTTTAAAATGATCGTATTCCTTATCATTTCTTCGATCATCTCTTTTGAAATCCCTTTCATTATACCTTCTCTCACAATTTTCTCCATGACTATAATTATTTCGTTTATTATCTCTTATTCCATTTTCATCTTTAATCTCTATTTCTAATTTATTATCAATATCTTTTCGTTCCTCTCCCTATCTAATAATATTGATACTTTTCCTCATTCCTTCTATCATATTTTCATTTAAGATTTTCCATATTTCATCCTTTAAATTTAACATCTCTTCCCTAATTCTTTCATTTTCATTAACGTTTTTTACTTCCCTTTCATCTTTTCCTTTTTCAATTTCATTATTTTTTATTTCAATTTCCTCCGTAATTTTTATTCTATCTCTTTCTATAACTCTTTTTATTTTTTTCCGATGTATCATAATACCAATTATCCATAAACATATCACTACTAGAGCTATAATACAATTATTTCTCTGTGGAACCATTTCCACATACTTTTGAGTTTTTATACTTCTTTTATCACAAATTTATAAAAAATTTATTAAAACTTTTATTATAAATATTTTAACATTACTAAAAGTTAAACAATATATTAACCCAAATATAATTAATAATATCAAAATTATATAAATGCACATCATTTTATATATTTCAAAAATTTCTTACCTTTTTATTTTTAAGAATTTTTTATTTTCCACCGTGATTGTATTTTTTTATTAGTACACTGCGTCCACTATTACCCAGATATCTTGTCCGTGGCACCACTTTTGTAGTCTTAACGGAAAAATAACTAACAATAACTTTGCTTTTTTAGACTTTATTTTTGGTTTCTACAAATCAAAATATATATTATTAAAAAAATAAATTACAATCTTCGAATCATGAAAAAAAACATTATTATTTCTTTCTAAATAAAATACAAAAAAATCTTTAACCTCATTTCTTTTTCATATAAACATATAATATATCTTTGACATCATTCTTTTTCATATAAAAATATAATATATCCTTGACATAATACAACAATGTTAAGATCAAATATAATATTTTAGTGATATTGACATTTATGACTGACGTGTAAAGATTAAATATAATATTTTTAATAATACTGACATTTATGACTGATATCTAAAGATTAAATATAATATTTTTATTAATACTGACATTTATGACTGACGTGTAAAGATTAAATATAATTTTTAATAATACTGACATTTATGACTGACGTGTAAAGATTAAGTATTATATTTTCTATTACATTGATATTTATGGCAATTTTGCTTAATTTGTATTTAAAATTAACTCTCAAAGTTTTATATATTAATTTAAGGTTAAGTTCGAAAATGTTAAATTTTAATATAGAGATGTGAGATAAAACAGGATTAGAAATAATATATAAGATAATAACATTTTTTAAATAATTTAAATGCTTTATTTAAATTGTATATAAAATTTACGCATATATAAAGATTAGAAAAGATATAAAAAGACATGCGTTATAACGATGCGACATAAATAAGATATACGATATAAATAACAATTAAGACATGCGATATTACATATATTTGCTTTGCTCTTTAAAATGCTAACGCTAGCATTCATGAGCTCAACATTGCCTAAATATTAAAAATAATTTAATAATAATGATAAATTTCACTTTTAAGAATCCTAACTATTGTATAAGGATCCATCCAAGGTCTGGTCATTTTACCACCTTTCCTGTCAGCCCGATGGCTGTTCCAAATAAGCATTTGATCATTGACTAAATAATGGTTATTTCTACCAGCATTACGACTTCTATAATCCCTCTGCTGTTTAAGCTGAGCAAGATCTTTATTGTCAGCATATCTCATGAATATCATTCATCCTGGAAACTGTATCTTGAAAATAAGATTCCAAATCTCCTTCAGGTACATTGTCAGGATCAATATCCTCTTCCTCGTCAATCTTAAATAGAGACATAATATATAGTATATGATTATAAAATGAGATTTATCATACCCCATAAGCTTGTTTTGCTTTTCTACCATACATCAGCTCATATGGTGTAAATTTCGAAGATTCGTGTAGAGAAGTGTTATAGGCAAATATTATGCCAGGCAAGGCATCTGTCCAAATTAATTGATCATCCTTAATACACTTTAGTAGTGCATTTTGGATTGTCCTATTCACTCTTTCAACCATGCCATTTGCTTGAGGGTGATAAGCACTTGTCCCTCTGCATGGTCCCTACGAGTTTGTGAAAATTATTGCTTATTTAATTAACAAACTCACGTCCTTGATCATTAATTTGAATCTATATATAATATTAATATTTTATTACTAAATTTATTATACTTTTGCCCTACCATGTGTGCATAGTAACGAATAAAGGAAGCGTGATACCGATTTTGCTGTTTTATCTTTTAAAGGCATGGCTACAATATATTTGCTGAAATAATCAACTGCTACAGCAATGTATTTATAGCCATCCTCACTTTCAGGCAAAGCACTTAAATCAACACCTATTTGTGTCCATACCTTTTGTAAAATAAAAGATTGTTGTTATATTATATACTCTATTAGGAGGTTAGGTGTCATGTAATAAAGTAAAGCTGCTTACCATTATTTATGATTGCAGCTGAAAAAAAAACATAATAATAAAGAATGAGGTAAAATCTAAATTAGCTAAAAAATGAAATTATGATATATATATCAATTTTTCCTGAGATTGAAGGGGACTATATTAATTTTATTTATTATATTTTCAGATTATAAGTTTTAATTATTAGATTATATGCAAATTATATTTTTATTTTGGACTGTGATATTAACCTTAAAGAAACTAAAAATGAATATATGATATATTTCTTGTAAAAAAATTCAATAAAATCTAAATGGTTCAATATATGAAACCAACATAACTAATAAAAACAAGTGCCACATACATATAAGCTATAATAGACAGATTATTAATAAGGCTACAAATGAAAAATATAAAATACATAAACAAAAATTAGAAACAATTTTAATGACCAAACTATAAAATTTTTCAAATTAAGGATTTTTTATGTAATCAACTTTAATACCTTTGTTGGAATAGGAATTGAATGCAACTCATTGTTAGTTTTGTCAAATCTTGTGTTGCTACGCTGGCAAATATCACAACATTTTACAAAATTAACCACATCAAATTTCATATTTGGTTACCAGAAGCTAAAAATATAATACATGATATAATAAATAGATTTATTATGCAGAAATATTTTACCTACTAGTCAAGTTGCTGTGAGTCTTGGTGATACCAAAATGGTCAGCTAAAGATTTTGCCTCATTAGTATCACATCCACTCCACTATTACAAAATTAACCACATCAAATTTCATATTTGGTTACCAGAAGCTAAAAATATAATATATGATATAATAAATAGATTTATTATGCAGAAATATTTTACCTACTAGTCAAGTTGCTGTGAGTCTTGGTGATACCAAAATGGTTAGCTAAAGATTTTGCCTCATTAGTATCACATCCACTCCACTATAACTTTTTAAAGAAGTTAAACTCTTCTGTTACAATCTAAAATTGATTCACTATTATAAAAATGGTAAAACAATTTATTATTGTGTATTATATTTAAAAATATATTATTGATCATATAATATTATAATTTTTATATATTTTACCTATCAGCCAATTTGCTGTAAGTCTTAGTGATACCAAAATGGGCAGCAAGAGATATTGCTGACACATTAGAATCAATCACATCCACTGTGAACCATTTGAAGAAGTTGAATTCTTCGGTCAAGGTCCAAAACAACTTCACCATTATGAGAATGGTGATGCATTTTACCCTTACAAATTTTATATCTCGAGGCCTGAACTCGCATGCGTCTTAAGCCTTTATTGGAAGACATAGATGATAGATATTTTTGGTAAAGGATATAATCCTGTATCTCATCGAATTCTATTAAAATGAATAGAAATATACTAAACAAAATTTATTTACTTGATTTATCGTCTTTTATTATTTGATTAGGGAAACAAAGGAAAATTTTGGCATCAAAAACAACTGTTGAAATGAATAAAAAAATAATATATAATAAATGGCCCAAGTCCATATCCAAAAATTTAATTTATAGTATTCAATGAAAATAAAGAATATTTCAGTGTATTTAGGCAATCATTTTGTTTGCAAACTGAAATTTATCTTATAGAAAAAATTTGCAATATTTTTTTAAGTTAGCAAAGATTTAAATAAACTTAAATACAATAAATATATTATTCAATGTAAATAAAGAATATTTCAGTGTATTTAGAATCATTTTGTTTGCAATACTGAAATTTATCATATAGAAAAAATTTGCAATATTTTTTAAGTTAGCAAAGATTTAAATAAACTTAATTGGAATGGAAAATTATCAGGCCCAAGATCATATCCAAAAATTTAATTTATTGTAAATTTGCAATATTTTTTTAAGTTAGCAAATTTAAATAGCTTAATTGAAATAAAAAATTAGTATCAAAATAAATAAATATTCTATTAAAATTGCTAAATATTCTATTAAAATTGCTAAAATTTATTATTAGAAAAATTTACAATCATTTACTTTGTAAAGGTGAGTATTGGTAGAATAATAGGTTTTTATGCCAGTTTATAAGTTAATCGTTGTTATAATGCTATCAAATACATAAAAATAATTTACTTTATAATTAATTAAATTAAGATATTAGAAGGATATATTATTTACTACTCTGCAAAATTTGTAGGCCAGCAATATTTACAATTGATCTTAATAGATTCTTCATAATTCTGATTTAAACGAACTCCCACATCAATCAAATATGTCAATATCACTAAAAAATAAGGTTAAATCTTAACATGTCAGTCATAAATGCCAATATCACTAAATTAGAATCTATTTAAATCGGGAGTTCATTTAAAACGTTACACCGGCTCGAATTAAATTAAATACAGAAATTAATTTATATAATTTCTCTAATTAAACGATATTTATTATATGGTATCTAGTTTCTATAAATAAAAAAAAATATTTATATTTTACATAAAAAATTAATCATAAAATTGATAAATTTATATAAAAAATTTTCTAAGACCCACTTGACCCGGCCCGATTTTTCTTAAAATATATTCGGCCCCACCCAGCCCAAATCCAATTTTTTTTTAAAAAAACCCGGCAGGACCTTGCAAATGGTACCTCTAAAGGTCTCTGATTAAATCATGATTTAAAATTTTACAATTACAATACTATTCTTAAAATAAATCTTTTTATTATATCAGTAGATTCTAAAAATTAATATCTTTTCCATGATTAAAATAAAAATACTCCCCCCCCCCCCCGTCTTGGTAAAAAAAAAATTATTTAAAAAACAATCAATGAATTTTATATCCAAAAAATAAAATTATTCCCCTCCCCTTTGGTGCCAGCTAGACGATAATTATAAGAATAAAAATATTTTAAGTTATTTATTTTTATTAAAGTTTC